AGGGCCCTCGGCAGCGGTCGTTGGAACAACGCCCCTAGAGTCAGAGGCCTTCAGCGAGGAGCAGGAAGAGGCGCGGCGGCGTCGGGCTGTGCCCCAGCAGCAGCCCCCTCCGTCGCCGCCTCCGCCTCCCCCACCGTCACACTTACCGGAGGAAGAGAGAACGAGCGATGACGCGTGGTATGCTAGCGGAGGCGCGGGAGGCAGCAGCAGCAGCAGCGGCGGCGGCGGTGGGCGGAAGAAGGCACAGGCGGCCTCCTGGGGAAGGATGCAGGGGGCGACGCATGATCATGATCGGCCCGGGGCGGCGGGCGCGACGACAACAGCAACGGCGATGACCCTTGCGCGGGACGTGACCCCGTCGTTCCTCCGATACCCTTCCGCCGGCCGCGGTCGGGCGGCCCGCGGACCCAGCTCCGGCGGCGGCGGCGGCGCAGAGCCATCGACGGCTTCTGCGCCCTCCGTACGGGTAAGCGACAACCGCCGGCCGCGGCCTTCGACCGACGGTGGTGGTCTCGATGGCGGTGTCGGACGGCACCGCCACGGGGGACACGACCACGACCATCCCGCCGCCCCCGTCGCCGCCGCCGCCGCCGCCGCCGGTGATCATATTCTCCCCGGCAGGGGGCGGATAACGGACAGCCCCGTCACGTCCAGCGGGCCCTGGGACGTGCCCACGGCGGCCCCGTCGCTCGCGGAGCTAGAGTACCAGCTCCGAAAGCTGAGCCCGCTCCGCGGCATGGCGGCCGTGGCGAGCAAGGCCCGCGGCGCCGGCAGCGCCGGCCGTGGCAGCAGGTCTCCCGCTCTTAAGAGCAGGCGCGGCGGCGCTCGCGGAGGCGGCGGTGCCGGCGGCGGCAGTGGTACCCGCTCCAGGCGTTCCGAACAAAGGGACGGGGGGTTCGAGGGGGCAAGCGGCGGTGGTGTCTCGAGCAAGACAGGTCGCGGCCAAATGCGGGACAGGGGGGGAAGCAGAGGAGGGGGGATCGGGCGCGGTGGAGAGATGGGGGGGGCGAGGCATGGCGACGCGGAGCAGAGCCCTGCAGGTAAGATCCGTGATCGAGATTTGCCCTGCGCTGCTGTAGGCCGGACATCTGTCTTAGGGAAGGGCGCGGGGTTTGTGGGGGTAACCGTGAAAACGCAGGCCGTGGTGGCCGGTACCATAGGCATTTCGCAATGCCTACAACGCCAAGGCAGAGTTTTTCGATGGGGGGGGGGGGGGGCTGTAGGCCGGACTGGTGAGGGAAGGGGTCCTGTTGAATGGTCGGCCGGCGGAACGCGAATACGGTTGTGGGCGGCGTAACCGGCGCAGCACCAGCGCCGCTGGCCAGGCGTACGGCTTCCGCGATCCCGGCGCTGCTACTTGCGAGGGAGCGTGGTATACAAACCCGAAACAGCAGCAGTAACGCGAGCAGGGGGTGGTGCTCTTTCTTGCCTTGTTTCTCACCGCTCTGCCTACCCGATTTCCTGTATGTAGGTCGGCCCACGTCTATCATTTGGTGATCAACTGTTTTCTTGACCTCATTGTGGTTCGCTCACGGGCAACTCGACGGTCTGCCTCTCATGCTGTTGTTAGCGCCGCCCTCGATCGTGACCAACGTCGCAGTCCGCGTACATGTCGAACC